GCGGCGTGATTATCGGGCGTAACCGTCGGTCCCGAGATTACCGGGTGTAACCGACGGTCCCGAGATTACCGAATGTAACCGTCGCGAGATTAGCGAGACTACCACCCATAAGTAGAGGACCTCACTCCCCGATCAGGTACGACGATTTCTGGCCTTGAACTAAACTTGGAATCCGACCTATACTGACTTGATCGTCGGAGTGTTCACCTTTTTGTGCAGGTCCGCCTAAGAGTTCAGGTCGGTCCGGAGGCCGAGTTCGAGCTACAATCTAGAACACACTGTTGTGCAGATCCTTGCATAAACAGATTAGATAAAAACAGAAGAAATAAAATGGACAAGAAAGTATAAAGGGTGATAAAGAAACACGAGGAGATGAAAAAAAATAGAGGTAATCAAGTATTTGGAAACGAGGTTCATACAAAAAGGTTTATTTTAGAGTTGTTAGGATTTTATTTTTAAAAATTATACATAATTACAATGATATAATGGGTAAAATAAATACTTCCTTTTCCTTCCCTCCCATCCTCCAAACAAAAAGTTTTATTTTTTATTGATTTAAAATCCATCAAAATTTGTTAACGCGATTAGGAATTTGAACTCATTTCAATAATTTAAAATCTTGGAATTTGAAATCATTACATTTGAATTCTTAACACCAAATGGAACATTAGAGTATTTTTTTTAATTTTTTCTTTTTTTTTTCGAGTTGAATATCTATTAGAAACCAACCAAATCGACCGACTGAACCGTCGGTTAAATGGTCGATTTGTAAACAATAAAACTTCCTCTTGACCGAAACCGACTTAGTCGGTTTTTGACGTCGGGTGGGCCAGAAACCGATCCAACCGACCGATGCTCGTCCTTATTTCTCAATGCAAAAGGGCTGCGCCCCCACCTCTTGATCCTCTTGATTCTCAGATCAAGTCCTGGCTTCAACAATTTTTGTTTTTAAATTATATTTTTCCAAAAAGTTTGTTTCTTCCCCCCACCTGCATGTCCCCGGGATCGAACCTGTCATTTAACATTCTTCGTTTTTTTATTATATTTTTTCAAAATGTAAGTATTTTTTTTTTCCTTTTTCCTTTTCTAAGAACCATATGTTTTCCTTTTAAAACAAGTAGTTTTAAGTTTTACGTCTAACTGAATTTATAATCCTAAATTTAGATAAGTTTCATATATAATTTTTATGTTTCTATTCAATTTCTATCAAATCACCAAATTGGCGAACAAAACTCCAAAAGAATCTCACTAATTTAATAAAAATCAAGTTTCAATCAAGTTTGATTAATGTACCAAATGCACCCTTAAATAATTTTAATAAACTTAAAAATTTTAGTGAAAAATCCCGGCTATAATGTTTTTTTTAAGAAGACTAATTATAATGTTGGTTTTGACTAAATTCTACCGATTTCATACAAAGTATATGTTTTTAAATTCATTTGACAAATATGAGAATATTTTTTCCAACAATGTTTAGAATGAAAATCCATCAAAATATTAAATTTGCGACACTTTTTTAAAGTTTAAGGAAATATTACACCACTTATTCCATGAGTAAAGTGCAAATTGATATTTTTTTTAGTACAACACCATGTGAAGGGTGGAGATTAGAATTGACGAAATTTTAGTCGAAAATAGGTGACTTATAACTAATTGGACTATACTTAGATTGACATGTAAATTTATACATATGACAAAGTTTAGATTTAAAATTGATATTTTTCCATTATATTTATATGCATTTGTACCAGACATAAAATTCTAGATTGTGCTGGTTATACCTATAACGTTTTTGTTAACATTTATGATGTAATCATTGGTGCGTGAAATTGTAGGCTTGACCATTGCGTGCAGTCCATGTGGATGCAATCAAAAGATTAAATGTGAACAGAGCTTGGCTTTTGAATGAAGGGAAAGAAAACTAAAAAGAAAAAAAAGTCATTAAAAGGAATAAGAAAAGTACTTCTCTCTTCAGCAGTTAGTCGACGGTTATATTAATCATTGAATAATTCCTTAATCTACGCTCGTTTACGTACATGCATGCACCTTCCTGCAATCAATCATTTATATAATATACTTCACCAATACGCCACCTTGACCCTAAACTCATGCATTTGTAACGTGCATGGCACATGCAGCCGAAGATCGAAGTGTGGTTCAAGTTTCAGGTTTTGACTTTTTTCATTTTACATCTCATTATAAATAACCACTCCAAAAATAACTGCCATTTCAAAACACAACATTTCTCTCGACAAAATATAATGGCCAACAAATTTCCTTCTGTGTTTCATTTCTGTACTGTCTTTGTGTTTTTTGTGTCCTTTTTTCGAGCATCAAGTGCGGGTAGCTATAATGTGATCAGTTTTGGTGCCAAGTCTGATGGGCGAACGGACTCCACTGTGGCTTTTCTCAAGGCTTGGGCGTCTGCTTGCAATTCTGCAGCAGCATCTTCTTTGTATGTCCCTAAAGGAAACTTCTTGCTCAAAGCCATCGTCTTCAAAGGCCCTTGTAGGAACCAGATTACGTTTCAGATAGACGGAACGCTTGTCGCACTGCCGGACTACCGCGGTCTTGGAAATTCTGCATCTTGGATTTTGTTCTCCAAAGTTAATAAAGTCTCTGTCCTCGGTGGAACTCTCGATGCCAAGGGTGCTGCTTACTGGGCCTGCAAGAGATCTGGGAAGAATTGCCCCGTTGGAGCTCCGGTACGATGTTTGATCTATAATTTCATCGTTAAACTTTTAGTATGTAACAATTTAATTTACTTTAGTATATAATGCAGTCGATGACATTCAATTGGGCAAACAACATTGTGATCAGTGGGTTAACTTCGATCAACAGCCGACAAACTCATATCGTAATCAATGGATGTAGGAAGGTGTTGGTTGAAAATGTAAAGGTTATAGCGCCAGATCAGAGCCCAAATACTGATGGGATTCATGTCCAATCTGCCACCGATGTTACCATCGCTGGCAGCACCATGCAAACTGGAGACGATTGCATATCGATTGGTGCAGGAACCTACAATTTGCTCATGACTAATCTCAAATGTGGACCTGGCCATGGTGTAAGGTAACAATATAAATATTAGTATCTTCATTTTTAGACGAAAACGAACCTGACACACGTATCCCTATAATAGTATTATATTGCTGACATGTTTTACCTAAAAAAAGTCTCACAGGAATAATTGTCACAGCCACACGAATCACATTGTGGGAAATTGGTGCCTTGCTTTCCACCACCTCGAGCATCTGGGGCTCATCGGCCATAATTCTGTAATGATAGTAATAAAAGGCTAACACCCATAATGTTGTTTCTAAACATTACTCTCATGACTTTGCTTTTGATTTCTTCCCTATCAATATTCATGTAATTCTATCTCAAAACCAATTGACGATGAGAGAAGTATCACATGTCTATTATAAACATTTGTAAGGCACATTTACTTTTCAATATAGGATCCTCAACACATCCAAAATGTCTCGTGCCAATAAAGATAATTATCCTCACCTACATATATACCATAGATCTCCCATTTCCCAACCAATATAGGACTAAGTTTGCACTCGTAACGGCGTCTCTCTCTTCTATCTTTCTCTCCTAAGTAAAATGGCAGAGAGAATTTCTTATACTATTTCTTAATTTAGTACACAACCTATTAAATATTACTCTAATGGCTATGACGTGAAACGGGAACAGCATTGGAAGCTTGGGAAAGGAGTTCAATGAAGATGGAGTACAAAACATAACGCTAAAGAACACAATATTTACTGGATCAGACAACGGCATAAGGATAAAAACATGGGCAAGACCAAGCAAAGGCTTTGTTAGGAACATTCTCTTCGACAACATTATTATGAACAACGTTGAGAATCCAATCCTGATCGATCAAAATTATTGCCCCGATAACAAGGGTTGCCCTATGCAGAACTCAGGCGTGAAGATCAGCCGAGTGACGTATAGGAACATTCGAGGAACATCGGCGACACGAGAAGCAGTAACGTTTGATTGCAGTTCTACCAATCCATGCACAGAGATAAAACTGCAAGACATAAAACTTCTGTATAATAAGAAACCGGCCGCGTCTTCATGCAGGAATGTTGGTGGATCCACCAGCGGAATATTGGTGCCTGAGAGCTGCTTGTAGCAAATATTAAAGTTTGCATGGTTTAGTGCGTTACATGGCCATTTTTAAGATATTTTTAGTTGTGCAATTGGATATTATAAAATAGATAAGGAAGAAATATAAGCAGATTTGTGGATATTTATATATATAATAGATGTTCCCATGCAAGGGCACACCTAGGAAGGATAACCTTTTTCTTTTTTTATTCTTGTAAAATTTGGGGCTGGTGACTTGATTTTCTATGATATAATTTGTAGAACTTATGTGAAAATTAATGGCAAAATATAGCATTGTCCACAAAGTAAAGATAGTTTCAACCTATTAAAGTGTGAAAATTTTTTATCCACAAAGTACTAATTATTGTCCGAGGCATGACTTGGAGATAGAATAATTTATAAAGATGGTCAAGATTTCGGATAAGTTTAGGATATGAATCTATCACACATCAATGCATATTTGCACAAATGATCTTCATGTTTATTACAAGTGTTTTTGACAAAATTATTTGAAACAGCCGTTTGATCAATTTGAACAACGAAACACAAGCTTAAAAAAAACAAAAAGAAAAAAGAAGGATACTAGAGAATTTTTCAACGTGGGTCATGTTCTTCCAATTACTCTCTTTTCTTTTTTCTATTTCCAGTCTACGGCCCTTATTTGAGGTACAGTGATATTTATATTATAGAATAGCTATTTATGCTTTCTTTAAAGCGTTTTTTTTTTCTTTTTTGAAAAGCTAATAATGACTTTTACAAGAAAGGAAACTTAATGAACCTCTTAAAACAGAATCTGGATTATCTTGATCGATAAGTCGTTCCTCTTTTTCAAATACTTGTGAAGTCTCTATTTCTATATGTATCGAGACAGTGGCATTAAAGGCAATGTTACATACAGCTAAAAAAAATTGATAAACAACACGAAAAAGAACATGCAACAAATTGAAAGACGGTCATCTTAAAGTTGAAGTAGAAAAGCAAAATAAGCAAAGACACGAGATAAAAAATAGAACAGAGATCCAATGATTAGAAGTAGAAGAAGGGCTTGAATACATAATATTTTATTTGAACTAGAACTTATTGATGGATTGTTTGACTTTTTATTGTTTCATTTTAAACTCTTATCATGCAATTGCATACCATTTGGTTACGCCTTCTACAAACCGGTTTGAATATCACTTTTTTTAAATAATTCTCATAAACAGAAATCTTAATTGATAAAACTAGAAAGAGTGGGAAATTGACGTGTTTTAGAAGGTACTCTATCAAGATTCAACATGTTACATCACACAGAAGGTTTCTATTTGACGGAGAGTAGATTTTTGCGATAACATCTCATGAACAGCTTTTCGCCCAATTTCTGCTGCCTTTACTAAGATATGGAGTTTATATCTTCTATGGTGCGTCTTCTACCACGGTATTAACGCATTTGATAAGATGTTGATCAGATTTCCATTTGTTCAAACTGGTGCGTTTTGTGCAATTGTTCGGGTGAAACATTAGATCATTTACTGTTCCATTGCTCTTTCGTAGTTACATTGTGGAATAATCTGTTTTCCGCTTTCAATATTTCCTCTGTTCGCCGAGGCTCTCTACCCTTTATCCGATAGTAGTAGATCCATTCTTTGGAGAAATGATATTGGTGTTGTTCTTTGGACTGCTTGGTCGAAAAGAAATAACCGATCTTTTTTAGACAAATCTCGCTCTTCTACTCAACTTTGGGAGGATATTAAAGTATTGGCATCAACTTCGTCCTCAAAATCTCATCCTTTTTGTAATTATAATTTATCTACCATTTCGTTAAATAGAAAGATTTTTATATAGCCTTCTTATTTTGTACGTTTCTCCCCCACCCTCTCAATGAAAATGAAATGGTTTTTCTTATCACAAAGAAGGTGAACTTTTTCTGTTTTTTTTTCTTTTACCTTTTTTAAGGACAAGTTAATTACCTATTAATTGTCTATTATTTACAATTGGCATAAAAACGTCTAAATATTTTTGCTAATTAAATTTAAACTTTTAATCTTTTACTTTTATATCATTTTCCTTGAATACGGATGAAGTCACAGAATGATTGATAACTACAGACGTCATTCTCATCCAAGTGATCGATGTTATTGAGTTGAGTCGAGTTAAATTGCTCGAGAACTACTAAATTAGCGTACCACAACAGAATCATAAAAATTTTACAATCCAAAGGCAAATGGAAGAAAAATAACAAATGTTTTGTGCAAATTAAGTTACATGCCACTTTTTTCTGCACTTTGGCTTAAACAACCTAATTCAAAAAATCAAACAAAAATCTAAAGAAAAGACCTGCTTCAGTAAGGAGATGAAAAAACCTTTCTTTCTATTTTGCATCCTGAATTGTTAGAATTGAAAGATTATGTATGAAATGTTAGATGATAAATTTTGCCACTACCTTTTAAAATTTTCATCAATAAGGTATGGATTTCAAAACAACAATACATTGAAAAGGAATGGAAAAAACAATATATAACGATACTAGCTCCAACTGAAGCTAGCTAAGAGTGTCAAAACGAGCAGCTCAGTGGTAATTGAAATATATCTCCAATCAAGAGGTTGTGAGTTCGAATCCAATTCCCAACATGTTGTACTAAATTAAAAGAAAAAGAAACTGAAGCTAAGAGCTAAATTCTACACCCAAAAGTAACTCTAAAATTTCGGTTGAAGAATTTTGCCAATCCTTTAATGTATGACAGTAACTTGTCCATTAATGTGATAATCGATTTTGAACAATAATGATTTTGCTTAACCTCGTAGTTCACAAATTCAAGAGCTGGTATCATCACAACCTTGATAATTTTTTTTTAGAAAAAAGGTACCATTTTATTAACGAGTATGTGAGAAACATACCAAACAAAAAGGGGTTGATTAGATAAAGGCAACCCAATTAAGAGAAATGGTAGCAATATCATAATTACAAAAGAGATTGAATTTGGAAAACCATGATGAAACATTGTCTATGATGATGTCCGATCCTCCCAAAGCGAAACAACTGTCCTTAAGATGTTCGAGAAACTGTGGTTGTTTTACTCCAACCAAATATTTCAAAGAATAACTCCTCTACAGCGTTACACTACAAAATATTTTSTCTACAGTTACTGGGCTTGGAAATACACTCTGTGATGAAAGTGTCAATATAGCGGGGAAAAGGCAAGGGCCCGTTGATAATTTGAAAGCAGAACTTATTCTTTTTTACCATATCTAAAGCAAACATGAGCTTTTTAATACTTTGGCATACATCAACTTTGAAGTACATATCAATTCTCATGCTCAAAATATAATCTTAAATAGCTGTTCATTGGTTCACATTATCAGTATATTTGTGGGATGTGATTCTATTTAATAGTATAGTTTAAACTTGAATTTTGGGCATTCAAAACCTTTCAGTAGAACTCTGCCTCATTCTTTGCTTGCTAAATTTAAATGGTCAAAATATTTTAGTCTCTACAGTCATAATACCTACTTACCCGCTTCCCGCTTCCCGCCTCAACCTATGTGATTTGAATAAATGCTCACTTTTTAAAACAAAAATAACCACAGGAACAAAAATGATTATTTGTTATACATTTAGAAGCTATAATAACGTTTTTAAAATAGTGGGGCTGAAATAGAACAGGCATTTTGAAAAATTCAGGACCAAAGGTCGGAAACAACGACGGAAAAGTGCCACAAGAACAATCAGAAGTAATGTATTGAAAGAGAAAATGCAGCACTAATGCAAACACAAAAAAATAGATGACAAAATGAATTTAAATGGATGTGGGAAGTAACTTCTCCAATAATAAAAATATATATATATATATGTACATGCTTAGGCTTTCGCATACAAAAATTAAACCACAGACCAATTCTCCCGACATCGTCGAATGTCCATGGATATTTGAGGCAAAAATACATAAATTGTGGATATTGATGCAAATTTTTTTAATTAGTAAATAAGACTTTAATGGTATCTTAGTTCGCTCATAATTGTTCAATTTTGACCTTCATGTCTAAATATATCAATAATATACTTACGAAAATGTCGTTGCGATGATAATATCAGAACAAAATTATGTATATACTTACATCTGTAAATTATTTGAATTAGTAAATTAGAGTTATTGTTGATTGATTATGTTTTATCGATAAGTTCTAATCAAATCTAATTTTTAATTACATAATGATGTGAAATAGGTATAAAATTTGAAAAATAAAATTTATTATATACAAATAGCGGTGATATAATTTAACTAATACTAAAGATATATTTTCTTTTAATTCAAATAAAAATATTACGTTGAGCCAAATTTGAATGAGCAAACCTCCTTAATTTGTTTTAGAAAAGATTTGGTTCTCTCCCGTCACATTTACTTATTTGTTAGGAGGTTTGTTTTTTTTTATATTAACCAAAATATCCGTTGACACAACTGGTGAGCATATCTTTTCAAATTATTAAAAACAAAATCAATTTTTAGATTATAAGTAAAAAAAAAAACGACATTTCCTCAACATTGAGGTAAACGACATTCTCCCCCATGTCGATGTCAAGATACTTGTGTCGACATATCGCTCGAAATTTGAAACACGGCCACAGACACATTTGTAACAAAAAACAAGAAAAGGAAAACAACATGATTATTATAAACCTACGAAAATAGGAAGCTCAAGATTGAACTTACAAGGTAGAAGGAACAAGAACATAATAAGTCAGGATCATACCTTAATTTTCAAATATAATCGTGGGTAAGTAGTTTAATAACGTAAATATGTACTGTGTTTGTTTGTTTTGTTTTTTTTTTTAATTTCAAATATATTAAGATTGGAACGAGGAAAATGTATTCTCATTCATCGTAAATGAATACAGATGCCTCTATAAACAAGTGTCACTAATACAATGTGACATAAACAGAAATGCAACTGGTACAATAACAAACTAAATCAATTAGTTGTAAACTATCTCAGTTGGGGAAAAATATATATATGCAGTAACAAAATATCTCTAGTTCTCAAGCAAGCAAGAGCAATCCAACAGGATCTAACTGGTATTTTTTCCCTTCCACAGTTATAAATAAGTCACAGTTCTATCAATGAAATAAAAGAAATACGAGATATAGATAGAAAACAAACACCTCTTCTGCAATATGCAGGTTACACTATAATGGGAACATTACAGTAGGCCTCACTTTCATCAAAACGCTCTGCTACAACAATAGCCACCTAGCTTCTAAGCACTACAACAATAGTTACTTAGGGATACAGAATGAAAAACCTCACAAGAATCACGA